AACAAAAAAGCAAACGCGAGAAATCAACATCAGAAAAAAGCTAATGCAACAATGAAAAATTACTTGTTGCAACAGAAAAAAAGCTATGCAACAACAAAGAAATAAAGCGCAATGCGAGATGCAACATCAGAAAATAAGACTAATGCAATAAAAAAGAATACTTGTTGTAACATCAAAACAACGATACTTCAACAACACAAACGAACCGCAATGCGAGATGCAACATCAGAAAAAAAACTAATGCAAAAAAAAAAGAATACTTGTTGCAACAGCAAAACAACGCTACTGCAATAGAGCTCGCTGGAACCCTAGCCACTGTGGCGTCCCTCAGATCCAGATTCAAAGGAGGAGGAGGAGAGCTTAGATCCAGAGGAGGAGGTGGAGGAGGAGAGCTCAGATCAAGATAATGATCCACCTACCTCGCCGGAAGCCGCCGTCGTCGCCCTCCTCTCCAGTGGCATGGAGGTCGCGGAGGGAAGGGAGGGAGGGAGGGGCGGCTCGTCGGAAGCCGCCGCCGTCGCCCTCCTCTCCGGTGGCATGGAGGTCGCGGAGGGAGGGAGGGACGGAGGGGCGGCAGCGCGCGAGCGCTGCGTGCCAGCAGCGAGAGAGTGGAGCAGCGGGAGGAGGAGCGGGCGAGCAGAGCGAGAGAGCGGCGCGAGCAGAGCAGGCGAGGGAGGCGTGGTCACGGGACGGGATGGGAGGGAGTCGAGTCGCATCGGCGGATAAGACGAGGCGCGGTCCGTCGAGTCGTGCAGGGTCCATCCGGACGGGACGGACATCAACACAGTAGCCATTTAAAAAAAAAACTGGAAGCCCAGCCGGTTTTGCCCGTCCCATTATATATTCTCCAGTCCGTCGCTGATGACTGCGGAGTGCGGAGTACAGCTGAAAAAAAAACATAATGAACATGATGGAGGTTCATGTGAGAAATACGGGATGGCATGTGAGGGGGTCGCATGACTTTTGTGGCGGGACAATCTAAAAAAAAAAACTTTTGTGGCGGGACCTTGAGTTCTTGACCGATGACGAGTTGACTGCAACGATCTGTCGGATCTGAATTCCTTGGCTCGTTCTTGCGGTCCGGCGTGCGGAGTGCGGTGCACCGTACGCTTGCTTGTCTATGGTGCCCGCCTCGCTGTTCGCACGCTGGGTTGGTTCACTGGCTACCGAATCTTGCGCTGTTGCAGTTTAGATTAAACTGTCCACTTGCCAATTTGCTACTGGATTAGTAGTTATTTTAGTCCTCCATCTGTGCTGCGCTCTAGTACTTCCGCATCTCAGTGTCCATAGCTAGTCCCCTACGGGCAACGGCAGTAAGGACGACTGACAATCTGATCTCAAGCATGGCGACTGCAGCTCTGGGCGATGAGGATGGATCGCCGAAGAAGACGAAGCAGGGCGGCTTCAAGACCATGCCTTTCATACTAGGTGACCTTCCCATCGTTATTTCTGACTGAGTATATACATACTGCTCTGCACGACTGATGCTAACTCGGGCCATGCATGTCCGTCCTGCACCTGCAATGCAGCAAACGAGATCTGCGACCGGTTCGCGACGGCCGGCTTCAACGCCAACATGATCACATACCTGACGCAGCAGCTGCACCTGCCGCTCGTGGAGGCCTCCAACCTGCTCACCAACTTCAACGGCACCGCGGCCTTCACGCCGGTCCTGGGCGCCATCATCGCCGACTCCTGCGCCGGCCGCTTCTGGACCATCGCGGGGGGCGGCGCGCTGTACCAGCTCGGCATGCTGGGCCTCGTCGTGTCCGCGCTCGTCCCTGCGCTCCGCCCCGCGTCCTGCGGTGCCGGTGCTGCTGCCACTGCCACTGCCTGCCAGCGTGCGAGCGGCGGGCAGCTCGCCATGCTGTACGTTTCTCTGCTGCTCACCGCGCTCGGCGGCGGCGGCATCCGCCCCTGCGTGGTGGCGTTCGGCGCCGACCAGTTTGGCCTGCGCGGCACGGGCAGGCGTCCTGGCGGCGAGCAGAAGTGGAGCTACTTCAACCTCTACTTCTTCAGCATGGGGCTCGCCGTGCTGCTGGCGCTCACCGTGGTGGTGTACATCCAGGAGAACGTCGGGTGGGGCTGGGGGTTCGGGATCCCTTCCGTCGCCATGTTCGTCTCCGTGCTGTCGTTCGTCGTCGGGTACCCGCTCTACGTGAAGGTGAAGCCCGAAGGAAGCCCCTTCAAGAGGCTCCTGCAGGTCGTCGTCGCGGCGTTCAAGAAGAGGAAGGAGTCCGTGCCGGAGGACGTCGGCTTGCTGTACCAGAACAAGGAGCTCGACGCCCCAATCGCCGCCGACGGGAGGCTACTGCACACCGATCAGCTTAGGCAAGTGCCATTGACTTCTCACTTCAGACGTCGGTCTATCTCATGTGCATTGCTATGTCGTTTTGCTAAAGTGGTCACTTGTTTATTGTCGCGCGCGCCGCGCGGGCTCCAAAGTCCGCGAGATCAGAGTTACTAATGCTTTGCTCTTACCTGTCCCACGTGAAGGTTCTTGAACCGAGCGGCTGTACTGACGGCGGGCGACGTATCCGACTCCGGCGAGCCGGACCTATGGCGCGTGTCGACGGTGCATCGCGTGGAGGAGCTCAAGTCCATCGTCCGCATGCTGCCACTGTGGGCGGCCAGCATCACGCTCGTCGCAGCCGCGTCGCACAACTTCACCTTCGCCATCCAGCAGGCGCGCACCATGGACCGCCACCTCACCCCGCGCTTCCAGATCCCGCCGGCCACGATGATCATCTTCACCACGCTCACGATGCTCGTCAGCCTCGCGCTCTACGACCGCGTCTTCGTCCCCGTCGCGCGCCGCTACACGGGGCGGCGGTCGGGCATCACCTACTTCCAGCGCATGGGCGCAGGCTTCGCGGTTTCCGTCCTCGGCGTCCTGGCGGGCGCGCTCGTGGAGGCCAGGCGGCGCCGCGTGGCCGCGGAGCACGGCCTGCTCGACAGCCCCAGCGCCGTGGTGCCCATCAGCGTGTTCTGGCTGGTGCCGCAGTACGCGCTCCACGGCATGAGCGACGCGCTCTCCACGGTGGGGCACATGGAGTTCCTGTACGACCAGTCGCCGGAGAGCATGCGCAGCTCGGCGGCGGCGCTGTTCTGGGTCGCCGGCTCCATCGGGAACTACCTGGGCACGGTGCTCGTCACGGCGGTGCAGAGCGCCACCAGAGGGGTGTGGCTCCAGGACAACATCAACAAGGGGAGGCTGGACTACTACTACTGGCTCGTCACGTTCCTCTTGGTGCTCAATCTTTTTTATTACATCGTGTGCTTCCATTTTTACACCTTGAAGACGTTCGAGGTGGACGCCGGCCGCATTAATGGTGGTGAGGAGCAAGTTGGAGAACGGCAGGCGGAGGCCGTGGAGCCTTGCCATGTCCAGGTTGGAAGCTTGTAGACTTGTAGTGACAGCGCGCATGTAATGGTGAGAAGCTTGCAGGGACCTGTTGATTGTTGAGAATGGGAGAATCATCATTCAAATGATGGGCGTGTCTGTACGCAGCTCAAATCTGACAGAGTAGATTTGACCTTCCGTTAAGGTAGAGTAGATTTGACTTTCCGTTTCTGCACTCCTAGGAAGTGGCAAATCTCCTGTAATTGACACATCACACATGGGGTCACCTGAGTCACTGGCGGTGGCCTAGGTGGCAAATCTGCTGTCACTTAATTACGGTCTTCTTGGTTGGGTACAAAATTTGTCATGCTAAAAATTTGGTGAGCAAAAATTCCTAAAAGTTAGAAAAAAATATTTGTTTTGTACCGTTGATTAGTAAATTTCTATCGATTTTTCAATAATTTTCTTTTCTTTTCTTTTCTGAGCACTCGGAAAATGCTTCTTAGACAACATCTATAACATGAAAAATAAATATATAGAATTAGACATTTACAACCCTATGTTCTTATCACCATACAGACATACACAAAAGAAAATTAAAAATAGGCTTCAATACCCTGGTGATTTAAATTAGAAATTGGAAATTGGAAAGATGAAATGTCACTGCTTGCTAGCGTAGTAAGTACAGGAATAGAAACCGTCGGCAACATACTGGGCTAATTGTTAGGCCTCCAAATCAAATCTGCCTAAATATCCCCCGGTGGTCGCACCGGCGGCCCATCCCTTAGAGCCGGCCCTGACCATCGCCCGTCGCCCCCACATGCTGCTGCCGCCGTTGCAAGAGACCGGGAGCGCCAACAATCAATCTGGGGAGCGCAAGGGACACCGAGCAGGGAGGCTGGTGGTGGGGGTGGTCGGGGTGGAGGAGAGGGAGGGCAGAGAGGGCAGCACCGCAGGAATCCGAGGCTAGAGCAGGGCAGATTGATCGTGAGGGGCGCCCGATCTAGAGAAATGTACTGGCGAGCAGGTGTGCGACCGAGCAAAGGTGCATCACGGAGAAAGGTGTGCAATCGAGCTAAGGTTTATCGAGGAGAAGGAGACAACGACGGGAGATTCGGTGAAGTCCCGAGGGTGTTGATTTTTATTTTATACTTTGGGTTGAGGAAAAATTGGGCCGGCATAGTTCCAACCATTTTAGTTGTGTCATGCCATGCCGGCACTGCAGGCCGAGGACGCGGCCTAGGCACGACATTACACCTATGTCGTGCTGGGTTAGTGTGGTACTTTTTGCGAGCTCGTTTCGCCATTTATAGGATCCGATGTATTCTGCCGGCAGGGGTTGAATCGCTGGCCGCGGGCATGGCTGAAGGTATCCAGTTGAAAATTAATTAACAAAATGATTAATTAATCATAACTGTTTTAAGATATGTGCAATTTTAAAAGAGATGTACAATTATCTTCGTACATAATTTTTAGTATGTATCTGGATACACTATATATGTAAGTATGCACAGAAAAAATCTATATACTCAAAACAGATCTAGAAGAGCGGAAGTGGATATTAAAAAAAAAAGACAAAGTTGTCGAAGTACAATTATTTCATCCCAACCCGATCTTTCTTGTTGGGATCCAGATCGAAGCTCACTCTAAGCTTAAGCTACTCGAAGTTTCCACCCTGCTTCTTGGCGTCATCGGTGCCCTTGCCATCACCATTGCCATGGTGGTGGAGCTCGACCTCCTCGCTGACCATCTCCAATGGCTTAAAGGTGTAGTACTTAACGCAGATAAAGAAGTAGACGAGGTTGACCACCTCCAGAGCCACGACAAGCCAGTAGTAGTTGTCTAGCTTCCCTCGGTTAAGGTTGTCCGGGAGCCATTGCCCGCTTCGCCGCGTCTTGTCGTGCACGATGGTCACCAGCAGCGTGCCGAGGTAGCTCCCTATCGAGAAGGTCAGCCAGTAGAGCGCCGTCGCTGTGCTCCGCATGCTCTCGGGTGCCTGGTCGTATAGGAACTCCATGCGGCCGACGTCCATGAAGGCGTTGGCGATGCCATGGATGGCGTACTGCGGCACCAGCCAGAAGACGCTCATCGGCAGGGTGGCCTTGGGAGCGTCAAGCAGCCCACTCGCAGCGGCTACGGACTTGCGTCTCCGCTCGACGACCGCGGCCACCACGTTGGACAGCATGGCGATCGTCAGCCCGACGCCCGTGCGCTGAAGGTGGGTGATGCCGTTGGGGCGGCCAGTGAAGCGGCGCAGCACGCGGACGAGCACGCGGTCGTAGAAGGCGAGGGTCAGCAGCATGCCGAAGTTGGTGAAGATGAGCATGGAGGCCGGCGGGATCTTGAAGTGCGGCGTGATGTCGCGGTCCATGGTACGGGCTTGCTGGATGGCGAAGCTGTGATTGTGCGACGCCGATGTCACCAGGATGATGCCGGCAGCACAGATCGGCAGCATACGTATGATCGACTTGAGCTCCTCGACGCGGTGCACCGTCGACAGCCGCCATAACTTCGGCTGGCCTGACGGCAGCACGTCGCCGTCGGTCACTATAGCCGCCTTGTCAAAGAACCTAAGCAAAAACAAATCAGCTAGTGCATTCAGATCAAATTCCCAACATTTTTTTTCATTTTAACTTACTTTAGCTGGTCGGTGTGAAGAAGGCGTCCGGTGGTGGAGATGCCAGCGTCGAGCTCCTTGTCCTCGTACAGGAGGCTCGGGTCCGGCACGACGGCTTTCCGCTTCTTGTACGCAGCGGTAGCGACCTGCGCCAACCGGACCAGGGGGCTGCCCCCGGGCGGCATCCTGATGTAGAGCGAGTACCCGGACACGAAGGTGATCACCGCGGCGACCATGGCGACGGTAGGCACGCCGATCCCCCAACCCCACCCGACGTTGTCCTGGATGTACACCACGGCGGTGACGGCCGCGAGCTTTGCGAGCTCCACGGCGAAGAAGTAGAGGTTAAAGAAACTCCACTTGGGCTTGGCGCCACGGTGCCTGCGCGCGTTCAGCTCAAGCTGGTCGGCGCCGAACGCCATGATGCAGGGGCGCGTGCCCCCGGTGCCAATCGACGTGCAGAGCAGAGACAGATAGAGCACGGAAATCTGGTAGGAGGACGCGCGCTGGCAGTCTGCAGCGTGCTTGGCGCAGGGTGGCGGGTGCAGCGACGGGAGTGCGGCGGAGAGGGTAAGGCAGACCATGCCGAGCTGGTAGATGATGGAGCCGAATGTGATGGTCCAGAAGCGGCCGGCAAAGGAGTCCGCGATGAGACCGCCGATGAGCGGAGTGAGATTAGCAGTGCCGTTGTAGTTGGTGATGATGTTGGAGGCCTGGACGAGCGGCAGGTGCAGCTGCAGGGTGAGGTACGAGATCAGGTTCGTCGTGAACCCAACCGACGCAAGCCGGTCGCAGAAGTCATTCGCTGCCGTCGTGCACATGCATGCCAAGAAATATTAGCTTCAACAACGAAGATAGTAAAATCTTACAATTACTAGGTGGAGGTGCGTTAATTATTACAATAAATGTTAAATAAAAATCATAAAATTCTAGCAATAATCAGAAACGTTTTGCCCTTAATTGGCTGATTTTAGTCACCATCGTCAACAATAATCATAAATTATTTAATATGATTGCTCGTTGCTTTCTGCAGACCAGTGTAACTAGATATATACATGGATCCCATGTCAAAAGCAGGACCTTAGAATTAAAACCTCACACTCATAGCTTATAGTTTTAACAAAAATTACTAAAATTTGTTGAAAATAATTGAGTATGATTGCTCGCTACTTTATGCAGATCGGTGCGACTAATTATATAAGCGGACCCCACATCAAAAGTTGGACCCTAGAATCAAAAACTCTGTGTTAACACCTTAAAGTTTACCAAATTGACTAAATCATTTGAAAATGACTTAATACGATTGCCCACTACTTCGTGTGCACTGTAACTAGATATAATACATGGGCCCCACATTAAAGATTAAACAACATTGTGTGCACCCCTTAAAATTTTAGCAAAATTAACTAAAATCTATTAGAGATAACTCTGAACAATTGCTCGCTGTGCAGATCGATGAGACTGATATATACTTGAGTCCCGTGCCATAAATTTAAAATTAGACACTAAAGGCTGGTCTACCTCTCAAGTAGTCAAGTCCATGTGAGTCCAACGAGCTGGACTTTTTTTGAGTTATAACTTATTTGGCACGGCTGCTCCTCAATTGCTCATTCGGAGGAGTCGAAGCACTTAAGGAGGAGCCACTTTTTCTGGTTTGGGCTCCTGGCTTAAAACCGCTCGGGCTCCTTCATCACAAAAATGGATTCTTCTTCTAAAGTGTTTAATACGGCTCTTTCAAGGAAGCTGCTGCTAGAGCTGGAGCTGGAGCTGAAACCGTATCAAACAGGCCTTTAATGTCTAATGGATTTTAGAGTTTATTGAATTAAATGATTATGGACATTCAAATCCAAAGAAATTCCATCCAAGTGGATCCAAAGTAACTAGAATCCAATTAAATTTTGGATCCAAATCCACAGTCATCTCTAGTGTTGGTCATCGTCGTCATGGTGGCGATGGTGACGGTGACGATGGTGGCCATGGTGGTACCATGTGTGACCGCATCCCTCGAAACAAGCCGCGTACCACCCACTAGTATCTTTTATGACCGAAAAATCCTCAATTTCGAGACGATATGCATCTCTACTGACTTTTCAGCCCCTCTGAAGTATAATTCTGTTGGAGTATGCCGTCATATTTCTAGGCTGATTTTAGTGCAACTTATCTGACTGTAACTATGGGCCTGTTTGGATCCACCCACTAAGTTTTAGCTGGCCAAATGTAGCTGCTACTGCTAGGGATCCAAACGACCCTGCTAAAAACCAGCTAAAGTTTATCTGCTTCAACCTAGCTAAACCCAGCTAAAGTTTAGCTGGAGGATCAAACAACCCAACTAAAGTTTGGCTAGAAAAACTTTTAGTCGGCTAAAGTTTAACTTCAAAATTTTAGCCGGCTAAACTTTAGTTGAATGGATCCAAAATATGGCATGGCATATACCTCCAGGGCTCTCACTCTTTGGAAGCTAATATATGTTCACACTTTCGAAATCATTCATGCCATGCATACAGGAGCCTCACAATTTGAGGGTAGCAAAAGCAACATGCATGTACAAGTCAAGGAATTCTTACGCACCAGATAGAAATTCTTGTTACAGTTCAGCTTTTGCATTGATAGTTATTAAATAGGAGTACGTCACTAAGCTATCCTTCACAGAAGTTTACTAGTTTAGGGCTTGTTTGATTCTCAGTTCAGTTTTAGTCCATGAACTAAAAGTGGACTAAAGTGATATTTAGTTTTTTGAACTAAAATAGACTAAAGTCATTAAATGATATGGAAGAAAGACAATTTTACCCACTCTTTTACCCTGGGAGAGAGATGACAATAAATGAGGGGCACGGGTGTCTCCAACATCTTTTAGTCTATTTTAATCCAGTTTTGTGGACTAAAGGAGTTTAGTCCACTTTTAGCGTAAGGGTTTGGCTGTTTAGTTCAACTAAAGTGTAGATTTTAGTCCAAAATACTTTAGTCCATAGAAACCAAACACCCCCTTAGTTCTAAACTCAGATAAAAGTCATTTTGTTTCCACGAAAACAGATAGCCACAACGTGTGAGTACATGTAAACAAAGCAACAGCTCTAAGAAATAATAATGTCGCTAATGGTTTGACTGGTTGGTACCTTGACAGCTAAAGCTTGGCAGTACAGAATTTCCACTTGTCACAAAGGAGATGCTTGATACTGTTCTAAGGTTGAATCGTTTGACGTAAATCCAAAAACGTCTTTTTTTTAGTATAGCATGTTGCCTCTGTTCTATCAATCAAAATAGACTGGTTTGACCCAGAGGAAAACAACAAGAACTGCTACGAAAGGGAGACTGCCACATGTGCATGGACTGACGTGCAGTGTGGTATCGTCCATCAACGTGTTCGCAGATGCAGCGTCAGCTCCCCTAGCAGCAGTGCAGCACCAAGAGGTGGCGAGCATGCATGGAAGTTGGAACGGAAAAAGAACATTTGGTGGTGCTGCTCAGCTATAGGTGGACCCGCTCTGTGTGTGCCCTGCTAACTATCTTTTTTTTTAGGGAAGCCCTGCTACTATCTTCTAGTGAACAGGCTACATGAAATTCGTGAAGGAAAATGGAGACTAAGGGTGTGTTTAGTTCGTGAAATAAAAATTTTTGATATCACATCGGATGTTTTGGGATGTCGGAAGGGGTTTTTGGAAACTAATAAAAAAAACTAATTACATAGCTCGTCCGAAAATTACGAGACGAATTTATTAAGCCTAATTAATCTATTATTAGCACATATTAGTTACAGTAGCACTTATGGATAATCATGGACTAATTAGTCTTAAAACATTCGTCTCGCGATTTTCAACCAAACTGTGCAATTAGTTTTTTTTCGTCTATATTTAATACTCCATACATATGCCGTAAGATTTGATTTGATAGTTTGGGTTAAAAAAAATTTGGAACTAAACCAGACCTAGATGCAGAAGGGCCCAGCTCAAGAAACAGAGGACAAATCTAGGGTGATCCGATGGAATTCCAACAGGAATCTAAGCAAAACACTGAAACAGATCGAGTATATGGAGTACTGACAGTAGGAGGAGGACGGAGTGGATCACTCACCTAGGATGAAGGGCATGGTCCTGAACCCTCCCCGTTGCTTCGCCGGCATCTTCGACGCCGCCGCGTCGGCATCCTTCTTCTCTCCTCTGCCATCCTCGGCCATGGCGCTCTCTTCCCGTGCTTCAGAGAGGAGGAGCCGACTACGGCCAGTGGAGAGGTATGGGGTGTATATGGTTAGGAAATGGTTGTGGCCTTGTGGGAATTGAAGACGGGTGTGCGTTGTACGCACGCTTTTATAAAGGAATCGGGTTAAGATCGGATTGGAAATGGATGTATGTCCGCGGCAGTGGCGGAGAGATTGAGTGGGCGAAGCTCAAAGAGAGTTGGATGCGGATAGTTCTAACCCAGAAACTAAGATGTATTATATGACTATTAATTAGAGTGTCAACTAAGTAAAATGGTGATGTGACATTGAAATTAAGAAAGAGAGATACAAAAAATTGCTTCTTCTCTCTTGTACAATAAACTACGTTTACACGAGAAATAAGATAGAAAGAGATATAACATGCGGACGCTAGGAACGAAAAGACATGTATTTGACCCATAGATAGCCTTGTGCACAGTCTGAACTACTGGTCTAGTTTAAACACCAGTTTTTCACTTAATTAATGAGCCTCCACACTCCATTCACCAGGCGAGCTTGCTTTTCTGACTGACTCTGCCCAAGTCAGGCCACAAAAGCTGCTAGCATCTACTCATCTGTTTTGTGTGTATCTACTGGTGTGGCTGTGCGACCTCGGAGATCTCTCAGGCGCAGTTGCAGGGGAGCCCGGGCAGGCGCCCAGGGTCGCCGGGCCCTGGGGCCGCGGGAAAGCAGCGGTCCGGGAATAGGACGTGCTGCAAGCCTGCAAGGCTCCACCATTGTCCTTTTTTATTTCTTTTATATAATTCCCTCGGTTTTGAAATAACGTTCATCGTGACTTCTAAAATTTATACTGAAATATAATTTATTCTATGTAATAACTATACCTTGATTTAGCAAAGTTTGTTAAAAAGAAACCATAATTTAAGGAGAAACTCCTTAAGGAGTAAGGATTAAAGTATGATCAATATAAGAAGAACTATACGTATTTTCATTAAAAGGAAAATATGCACCTAAATTTTAGTTGAAGATGACTCAAAGTTAAATAGTTAGGGTCAATTTGTTTCATGTTTTTGTTGGTTTTTGCCAGCAAGAAGCTGAAACAAACAACATAGTTATTGAGTTAGCTTTTAAAAGCTGGAAAAGCTAACTTCTAAGGAAATAAGCTGGAAACTAAAAAAACACGGCGAGAGAAGCTCTTTTAGTTTTTGGTGTGGAGCTAATAAGAAATTATTACAAAAAATAATAGCAAAGATTCAACAGCTAGAAGCTAAAAGCCAAAAATCAGTTTTTAAGCAAAATCTAAAAACCACGGCTCAAATAAATAAGCGCGGACGTATGACTACATCTTCCACCCGTTCAGCTAAGCTCACATTCTAATCTAGCGGGCTTGATTGAGACGCAACATCATTGAGGACTGAGGAGCTCTAGGCACTGATCCTTCCATCCACTGCAGTCACATCAGGTGGCATGAGCAACAGTTCCCTGATGAGCAAGTCAATTTGATTATTATTCGGCTTTCACCACTTGGTGCTCTAGATTTTGTGCGTTGAGGCAGAGATGGAGGTAGCGCAAATCTAAGAAGGATACATTCATTGGTGCAAGTATCTACAACATGAGGGTATAAATATAGTACTAAATCCGTTCTAAATTATAATTTATTTGACTTTTTGACCTCAAGTTTGATCACTCGTTTTATTCAAAAAATTATGAAAAATATCTACAACATGAGGTGGATCCACTCATCGGGAGCATGCTTCTTGCCGAGTTTGCTATCCTATATGAGTCTACCCGGGCACGTAGCCTTCTTCTGGCATGGCAATCCCGAGCCATGGTCTGGCAGATTGCTGAGCCAGCTTCTGGACATGGCTCGGGACGTTGGTTGCTGCCCGGGCGATTGCGAGGGAGAGTTCAAGCTCAGGCTCCCATCATTCAGTAGCCCGGGGCTGTGGCTGAGCCCCCAAGCCCCGGGCGACGGCTATAGGTGTGCTCGGGCTCGTCCTGACTTCACCGGAGGGTACGTACGACGATGGGTATAGCCCCCAAGTAATTCATAGGATCGGTCGGGGATCTATCGATCTGCTATCCCTTTTTCGGAGACTTAACATACCTCTATGCTAGACTCTCGTCACTTGTCATCACCAAAGGGACATTGTTTAATTTTGTGCTAGTTGCAACAGATTATTTCACAAAGTGGACTGAAGCTGCAACTTTGAAGAATATGACACACAAGGAGGTAATCGAGTTTGCTACTGAGCATATTATTCATAGATTTAGCATCCCTCACACGTTAACTAGAATAAAGGTACATCTTTCGTATCAAACGAGCTACGAGATTTTGCTAAATTATATAAGATCAAATTGCTTAATTCATCTTTATATTATGCTGAAGCTAATGGCCAAGCTGAGTCAAACAGCAATGCTTTGGTAAAGCCTATTAAGAATAAATTGAGGACAATCCTGGGAGATGGCATGAAGTTTTCTTTAAAGCTCCATGGGCTCATCGTATTTTAGACATGGTGCTACTAAAGTTATTCTTTTTTAGCTCGTATATGACAAGAAGTTGTGCTACCTGTTTGAAGTGAATTTGGATGCATATAGATTGGTAAACAAAATGATCTATCTGTTGTTATGTATCATGACCTAATGATGGATAATATTGACGAGGTGATTGAGAAAAGAATCAACTCTGAAAGATATTGAGAAAGACAAAGCTCAAGTTGCCTAGGCGCATAACAAGAATGTAAAAAGCAAATCTTTCCAAATTGGGGAGTTAGTGTGGAAAACAATTTTGCCAATTGGGATGAAAAGCAATAAGTTTGGCAAGTGGTCTCTAAGCTGGGAAGGTCCACACAAAATGATCAAAGTAGTGTTCGGGAATTCATACTCCCTCCTCCGTCCTAAATTATAAGGAATCGAAGCGATTTTCAGACAAAATAAGGAGTTAGACAAAATACCTCATTACCCCTCACAAATTAGGAGTGAGTGTTCGGTTAGTTTTTTCCTACTTTAAAAGGAACCCTTACATGTTATTATTTCTTGCCATGAATTGGAGAGGAAAGGTATGATGTACTTAGAAGGAAAATTTTGTTCGGTTAATAAAGCTAGAGGAGAGAGAGGAGCTGACGACCTAGAATACATTATATTTTGGTACAAATTTTGAACACTCGATTTCTTATATTTCATGACAATGGGAGTACATGCTAGAGACGTTGCAATGCGATCGTCTCCAAAGAGAGTATTGTCCAAACAATGGTCGATATACAATGTTCGTCCTTGGAACAAATATGGCCGATGCATGTGTCGCCCTTAGAACAAAGCCGATGGCTTGATATCATTTCTTTACTGTCTTGTGTTTTTTGAAAACTTGCATGTGCTTCGCTTTTGAAAATAGGAGGGCACATGTTAACAACAAAAAGAGGTTAAAGAAGTCAAATACTCCTTTTACGCAACTCGTGGGAAACTTGCATGAGCTGAGGTTAAAAAAGCTATGCCGATTTGAGTTCAGACTTGCCATTTCGATTCAAACTCATCTAAACTCGTGGGGAACTTGTGATGCATATTTTGAAAAGTTTTCTATTGATATAAGACCACCCCCTCCATATATATTAGAGGATCACAACTAATTGAGGTTAACCACGTAGAATTGATAAAAAATCAATCTAATACTTCTTTTACCCAACTTTTACTTCTAAAATCCCTTGCTGTCTAGCACATCTCTCGACGAGATTGATGGGTGTTTTAGGTGGCCTTGCCGATCTAAGACAACCTCGTTATGTCCTTTCCCGATGGGTCTTTTAGGGGGGGTGTCCGCGAGCTTTTCGGACAAAGAGCGGGCGTCAAATCTGCATGGGCATCGTACTGGTCGGCCTTGCTGCGTTTGAATCCTCTCGCTACATGTTTGGCCTAGCTAGCATGTGACCCGAATCGGCGTGAGCCATGCTGTTCCTTTTATCTCTACTTGAATAATGGTACTATGCTTTCAAAATATTCGAATGCAAATTTGAATCCAAACTATTCGTTTTGTATTCATACTCGAGAACATTCGAAACTATAGTTGTATCTGGCAAAAAGTTCAACATCATGATTAATAGATATCTCCATTTTCACCCCTACTTCGCCTATACATCTTCCTTCCCGTAAAATCAAACGCTTTTAACTTCAACTAAATATATACAAGAAATCATTAATACTTCTGGTATATAATAAGTGTCATTAGATTATGTGTTAAATATATTTTTATAATAAATTTATTTAGAGATAAAAATTTAATAAACCTAATTAAATTTAACAAAGTTTGACTTGTACGGAACCTATTTTAGAATGTTGGGAGTACCTCGTGATGAAATCGTCGGCCGCCCATTAATTCAGGCCGCCCATTATTTCATAGGCATCTATCGCGGCACCGCCCACCGGCGTCGCGCACGCTGACGGCGACGGCACGTCCGATCATCACAGTGCTGAGCGCAACAGTCATCTTTCTCCTCTCTGGCGGAGGAAAAGAGACGATCACTATTGCTACTTGCTGAAGGGCCCACGGCATCGCTGCCTACCTCAATACTCCGTAGTCAATATGGCACTTCCGACGATCAAAAACATTGCTGGCACGATTTTTGTTCCTGAAATGTGATACCAATCATGGGAGCAACGACATCCGCGCAAGGTTATGTCTCGGGCAAAACGTGGCGCACTTTAGTACTTTTCAGTACTACTAGTACTACCACTTGATATTTTCCCCTTTCTTTGATAACATTTTTTATAACAATATTTTGCCCCTTCTAATTTCAGTTCAGTAAGTTGCTTGAGGCTAATGCCGAAGTATATTTTCTTATATTGGTAAAAAAGAAGTATATTTTCTTACCATTCAAGAGTTCACTTTAAGCTACGTTTCGAACACAAGACCGTTTTATGAAAATTTCGATGACATTTATATGCTCAAAACAAACCTGACAATGGGTTACAGGAGCACTACCCGTCTACCGCATTACTTCCTTCGTCCCTAAATAAATCAATTTATAGAA